GGCCATTGTGGCACACAATGAGCCCAAAACTTTCAAACAGGCTTCTCGTGATCCAGAATGGAGAATGGCCATGCACAAAGAAATAAAAGCTCTTGAGTTGAATGATACGTGGGCGGTAACATATTTACCAAAAGGTAAACGCGCCATAGATTCCAAATGGGTGTACAAAATCAAGTACAAGCCTAACGGAGAAGTTGAAAGGTACAAAGCAAGGCTCGTGGCTAAGGGCTATACACAAATGGAAGGAGTAGATTTTCACGACACTTTTGCACCTGTGGCTAAATTGGTTACAGTCCGTGTCCTTTTAACAATTGCCATCAAGAATGATTGGATAATTAATCAGCTAGATGTGAATAATGCCTTTCTACACGGAGACCTTGAGGAAGAGGTTTATATGAAAATGCCTCAAGGGTTCGGACAGAAAAATGACAACCGAGTTTGCAGACTCAAAAAGTCCATATATGGACTCAAACAAGCCTCTAGAAATTGGTTCTACAAGTTTACCGCTGCTTTACAAATTCTTGGTTTCGCTCCATCTCATGCGGATCCTTCGTTGTTCATCTTCAAAAGTGGAACTATTTTTGTTGCAGCTTTGATCTATGTTGATGATGTCATTGTTGTGGGCAATGATAGTAGAAAAATTGAAGAAACGAAACAATATCTTGATGAACAGTTTAGTATTAAGGATCTTGGAGATCTTAAATACTTTCTTGGCATCGAAGTGGCTCGAACAAAAGAAGGTCTTGTCCTAAGTCAACGCAAGTATTCTATCGATATTCTTGAGGATGCAGGTTTACTTGGTTGTCGTCCTAGCCGGTTCCCTATGGAACAACATTTAAAATTAGATAAAGGTGATGAAGAAGAACGTGTGGATGTAGGCAGGTATAGGCGTTTGGTTGGACGATTACTTTATTTACAAGCTACTCGCCCAAACCTTTCTTATTCAGTGAGCATACTCAGTCAATTTGTTTCTGACCCACGACAAAGTCATTGGGATGCTGCCATGCGTGTGCTACGTTATCTGAAGTTTACGTTGGGGCAGGGAATTCTTCTATCTAAAGAAGAGGGAAATGATATCATGGCTTATAGTGATTCGGACTGGCTGGGATATCCGTTCTCGAGCAGGTCAAGAACGGGTTATTTATTGTTACTGGGTGGCGCTCCTGTTTCTTGGAAGTCGAAGAAACAGTCTGTGGTATCTCGTTCGTCTGCAGAGGCTGAATACCGAGCTATGGCCACCACCGTTAGTGAAGTGTTGTGGATGCGATGGTTGTTGTCTGAGCTTGGATTTCCTGTTCTTTCACCTACCAAGCTTTTTTGTGACAATCAGTCAGCTCGCCACATTGCTCATAATCCAGTTTTCCATGAGCGTACCAAACATGTGGAAATGGATTGCTACTTTGTTCAAGAAAGAGTCGAGTCTAAAGAGATTGAACCAGTTGCCATTCATACAACAAATCAGTTAGCAGACCTTCTTACTAAACCACTTGGATCTGAAAGACTTCAAGCCTTGGATGTCAAGTTGGGCATTCGTAATCTACATGCTCCAACTTGAGGGGGAGTAATGGAACTTATTTTATACCGTTTAGATTATCTAGGAATCTGTGTAGTATTTATCTTTTATATGGATGATAATTATCTTTTCCTTGAAGTGAGTTAGGTTTGTTATCTTTGTTTGGGTCACGTATAAAAGGTCATTCCCCTGTAACTTTTATGAGATAGATAAAACAATTAATAAGCTCCTTGATTCATCTCTTCCACTCAATTTTATTATCTTCACTAATCTGATCGTATCCGGTTTACTTCTCCCCTTTCTCATGCTTTCCATAAACCTCTTGTCGAGCACTGCTTCTCACAAACGAATTTCAGCCTCCGCGAACCCTAAATCGGCATCTCAGTCAACAGAGTCGATCCCTGTTGCTCTATCGGATAAGGGATAGATGTGCTGAGGTTATCGGCTCAATTGTTGAAATTGCAGACGAAGAAAGATCGATTGCCGCGTTCTCCGTCGCTGTGACCACCACCACCACCAGCGGTCATTCGAGATTTTGGACCAGCACAATCGACGAAGTTTTCGAGAGTTGTTAATCTGTAAAGTCAAAGAAGCCGGCCTGTTATTTGATTTTATCTGATTCTGTAGCCAAAATCGTTGAACAGACGAATTTGCTTCAATTATAGGTATTTCTATTCAATTATGAGTTTCGATTTTACCCTATTTATCCATATAACACATTTCCGAGTGGTTAACCCCTATTTGGTGTGATGCTGCTACTTTGATTATCCATCGAACTATCGGGAGTCTACAATGAAAGTGGCTTGTTTAAGTATATAAAACTTAGGTTAGGAATCTAAAAGCATGTGCAATGCAGCTTATTTGGTTTTAGATTTATTATTCTTAAAGCTATTTATCGCCATATATCTTATAAGTACAAAATGGACTCAAAAGTATTTTGGGATTTTGACTTTGAAATTGGATAATTGCTATTATCCAATTATATTCAAAGGTGTAACTGTGGGTTTACATACCAGTCTTATTCTCTTCTTCTGAAGCAGAACATTACTATTTTGAAATGTACTCAGGATTGAAGCTTACTTAGTGAAGACTTAGCTTGGATATTTGGAAGGCTACATATTGAATAATGGTTTCTTTTGACTTATGTTTTAATATAATTGTACACTCTAATATAAGTAAAATTTCAAACTTGACATACTTTTATTTAAGTTCTCCAATCGTAACATTAGTTTGATACGATTGCATAGTTTATACAAAAATTAAACATGAAAAATATTAATCTAATTTCTGGATTAGGAATATTTAACGAAAATCAAATTGAATTCTCGAGAGTTTAATTTCATCGCTACAAAAATTAAACATAAAAAATATTAATTTAATTTCTGGATCAGGAATATTTAACGAAAATCAAATTGAATTCTCCTGAGTTTAATTCCATCACTACAAAAATTAAACATGAAAAAAACAATTAGTTTAATTTTTGGATCATGAATATTTAACGAAAATCAAATTGAATTCTCCTGAGTTTAACTCCACCGCTACAAAAATTTTAAAAATTGTTAATTTAATTTCTAAATCAGGAATATTTAACAAAAATTCTCCTAGCTTAACCAAATCAAATTATCCAAAATCCAAATAACTTAAAACCTCAATTGTTGTTTTTTTTCCTACAAATCCTTTTACCAAATTAAATAATGACATTTATTGTATTTAATATTACATATGTCATTATTTAATTTGATAGAATGATTTGAAGAAACAAAAAGTAAAAAAAAAAATTAATTTCTCTTTTATTAAACATCCTTAACCAAGATCAATGATGTATTCTAACTATTTAGTTTAACTTTTTATTTGTTAATAAAATTTACTTACATACTATTAGATATTTGATTCCGTTTTCCCTTAAAGTTATGTCATACAAAATGTTATATCTTAAAGATCAAAATATGTAAACACAGTTATATTAATCAAAATAACTTTTTGATTATTGTGAGAATATAACTCAAAAACTCACGGTGTTTACAATGTTTTCCAATGGTCATAGCTCGACCTAAAAGAATGTATATATAATCCTAACTACCGACTTGTAATTAGATTACAATTAGAAAACTAGAAACCGACTTGTTTATGATTTCCTAAAAACTAGGTTGGTCTCCAAGTCCTACTCGACTTAGGATTCCAACAATCACCCCCGAATCTGTAAGTCCTTCTAGAGAATTCTTCAACCCCGTTTCGTTTTTTAAAAAACGGATTCGTCGTTGTCGTCACGTTCCGAAAAATCACCTTCTTGTAATTTTTGGAGTCGTTCCGGACATTCAGAAGCAAAGTGACCAGGTTTGTCACACCAAAAACAAATCACCTTAGATCAGTCTTTTTCCCTATTTTTCCGATTCTTATCACAACAAAAAATTACAATTTTTGCGATTGTTGGAATTGGACTGAGATAAATCAGAATTAGAATTGGGCTCCCCACCTTGGGCCTGTTTTGTTTTAAACCCACCATTCAACCCGGTTCCCTGGTTAAACCCACTTGACCCATCATTCCCTTTCCAGTTCCCTTTTCTTTTTCCGTCTCGCTGATGCCCCGATGATCCACCATAGCCAGACGACGCTGATTTCGTGAGCATCACTCTCGCCTGACCTCCTCCGTCTTCCTCTTTTTCTTTTATTCTTTCTTCGTACGCCTTGAGTCGTCCCACTACATCTTCAAAGCCAACAGATTTCAAGTCCAACACCTATTCAAGGGAGGCAACGATCTGGATGAACTTAGATCGGGGCAGAGTTTTGAGGAACTTCTTTACCAACTTCGATTCATCAATGGTTTCTTCAAGGACTGCTAATTTGGACGCGATTCCAGATAGCTTTCTAGCATAGCTATCAATTGTTTCAGACTCCTGCATCTTCAATCGATCAAATTTTGCATTAAGGGTTTGCAATCGAGCCTCTCTCACACGATCAGCACCTACATATCTCACCTTAATTGCTTCCCGGAGTCCCTTGGCAGATTCCACATCTCCGATTTGCATGATTAGATCCTTCGGGATTGCCTGATATAAAAATCCAATTGCAAGGTAATCTTTCTTTTCATTCTCATCTGTTCCAGGATCTATTACAATCCATGCCTTATGGATTCTAAGAACTACATTCATCCTTAGTGACCAGACCTTATAATTTGTTGGGTTCAACATAGGACACACTACAATGGTTGACCCAATCTCCTTCACTCTCACCGGAGGAGGCTATGCACCATCTTCACCATCCGACATGTTGACCTAGCTTGTCAACAGGTAACAAAATCGATCTCACAGCCTTCCATTCCTTGGCTCTGATACCAATTAAAGATCAAAATATGTAAACACAGATATATTAATCAAAATAACTCTTTGATTAGAATATCACTCAAAACTCAGATGTTTACAATGTTTTCCAATAATCATAGTTCCACCTAAAACAATGTATATATAATCCTAGTTACCGACTTATAATTAGATTACAATTAGGAAACTAGAAACCCACTTATTTATGATTTCCTAAAAATTAGATTGGTTTTACAATTCTAATCTAATTGACCAATTTTTTTTTAAAAAAATTTAACCTTCAAAACACTTTTCACTTTACTTATCAATTAAAATGAATATTTTTTAGATGACAAATTAATTAATAAAACATCTATCAAGTCAAACGTTGAATACTTGAATCATGTAAAAAACAACATGAGTAGCACATCTTGTCGTGGAGATTTGAGACATTATAAAAGAAAAAAAAAACATCATAAATTTCATTTGAGATTTAAAATTAAAACAAAAGATATACAAAAATTCATCCAAAACAACCACATAATCAATATACAACATATCATTCTGAATCACTATCCATACTTCCCATAGCCTTCAATCCCGTTGGTTTCTGCATTCAATCCACACACCACTATTAAAGACAAAAATAAATCAAAAAGAATTTGAGATTCGTTTTCATTTTTAATCATTATTGTATTATCTTTATAACATTAGTTTTATAAAACAATCGAATACAAAAATATGTAAATTCATTGAAGAAGAGAAGAATATTCGTAGACATACCTTCTTCGTACTCTTCTTTTCTCTGACCTCGTATCTCTCTTGGCACATATCGGTCAACCATGCCCCTGGACTCACCAACTGCTCCATCCAACCATTACAATAATAGCAGGGGCAAATTAGTAAAAAATAAGATCGATATTGTCAAAAAAAAGTCAACAAAATATTGGTGTAAATAAAATAAAGCCATTTATTTAAAAAAGAAAAAGAATCTTTTCCCACAAATGGCCGAAACTTTACTCAATCATGCAGTAGCAAGTTGTACCACTTGCAACAAAAGTAAAGATTTTTATAAATCACAGGACAAATTAATAAAAAAAAAAAAAATTGTTAAAATAATATATACTTTTTAAAAATAAGCCCATTTACAAGGTTTCGTGAGGACAAATTAGTAAAACTAATTTTAGCAAGGGCAATTTGGTAAAAGCGTAACAGGCAAATAATTATATTTTTAGAGATATGGAGATGAAAAGAAAATAATCGAGGGGAAAATCTTTTTCAAGAAAAAAAAAATAAACAAAAAATGCAATAATCACTTGTACATGTTGCATTACAAGTTGTACGTTGTTTATTTATTAAAAAAAAACACAGAGAGAAAGTGAGATTAGTATGTGTTCTGTGTATGAAGAAGAAAGATGGATCTGTCGAAATGTTACTTACAAGTAAAGTTCGTTGGATGATTTTGGCCCTTTTCTTAGGTCTATGAGGAAGCTTACAACCTTTCATCGCCATGAAATCTTCTTCTTTCTCCTTGCTTGTTAACGCTATATACAGTTTTGGCCATACATGTTTGCTTTTACAACAACCTTCATCTACTCCTCCGCCGCCGTCTAGGGAGGAGACCTTCGGTTTCTCAACCATCCCCGCCACCGCACACCCTCTCGTCGTATACTTATCCTCTTTATCCGACGAAGATTTCCGGTTGCTTTCCGATTTTAGAGTCTTCGATGCCTCAGCCGTCCTGTATCCCAACAAATCACAAAGTTAGTAATCGATTTAACAAACACATAAATGAAATTTTAAATATCTCTAGTTTCAACACCAACAAAATTTCCAGAAAAGTAAATTCTGGGAGAATCGTTCTTGTTTTAAACGTGATGATGTAAGAAATAAGAAATCCACATTTGATCTCAGTGATTTTTCTGAAAATTTCTGATGTTGTAGATTTTAGAGGATGCAGACATCAAATCCATAAGGAATATTCTGCAAATTTTGAGAAACTTTATCGTGCCTGCTGAAGATTTTCAGATGTGTTGTAGGAGATAAATCGGCAAGATGTTTTACCTTGTGAGACGGGTGGATGGTGGTTGGAGAGATGGTTCTCTATTCTCATTATCGGAACTAAAAGTAACAAAATGAGAGTTGATTTTCCGGCGAATCCTACGGCGGCCGGAAACGGCAAACGATGTGTCGGTCGTATCATCTGGTTCTCTCACTCTCACACATCTAAGTCTCTTCTTATTACCCCATCTTAAAAACAAATCTGTTGTAGTTTCTGCTTGTTGTTTACATCCTCCTCTTTTATCTATTTTCTCCATCAATCAAAAGAACTTTTTTCTAAAATCCAAAATTCTCAGGAATACGAGCTCTAGATTACAGATTCATATAGAAAATACAAAGATCTGCTCGATTGTTCTTCAAAAATGTAGATAAATTGTGCTCCGTGCGAACCTAAATCTGCAAATCGTCAGAAATAACAGTCAAAACGGGTTAAATCGAAGAACATGTCACTTATCAAAGATCTGATTGTTAGAAACTCATTTGATTTGGGGTTGAGATAAGAAAAAAAACTTACAGAAACGCCTACGATACCCAAAGCAACAATTCAACAACTTTATCTCATACAGAAAAGGAATAACACGTAGTTTTTGATGAATTTTCGAAGATGAGGAATTATATGAATTTTTGTGGGATAATCAAAATCGCCTCCTTCGGGTACTTGATTTCTGAAGAAGAAATGGGTTTCATCTTCTTCTTCCTTGGCTTCCTTTGCAATTTATATATCTTGCACTCTGCCGTGATATAAGTTCTGATGTGTGGTGACCCTTGGATTTGAATCAACGGTTGACGATGATCAACACATCTTCGGCTTAAAAACTGAAGGCTTCATAAGATATTTCCTCTTTTTCTATCTGGGCTTTCCTCACTTCACTTTTCACTATTACATAATACCTAATGCAAAGCCCACAAACAATACTCCAAGCCCATAGAGAAGATGTGTCGGGCCTACACAGACCCTTGAGATGGGCCTAAATCGGGTTATAGATTATGGGTCATGAGCTAACGTTCACACTTCACACAACAACAAATGAGACGAGAGGGGTAATATTATTGTCTTCTGTGTAAGTGTGTCCCTTAGTTTAATGTTTGTTAACTTACGTTAATCAATTAATGTTTTTTTAATTTATGCTAACTAATTTAATTAAATGTTATATTTGTAGTTTTGCTTTGAAATTTATCACTTATGTCTGTAAATGGATTGATATTTGATTATGAAATGAAATATTTTCTCATTGCATGTATTTATTCCTTAAGGTCAGCAATTTGAAGCAATGACCCTCTAAAAATTGAAGTTCAAGTTCAAATCTATTTGTGAACTCGATTTATAGCTAGTCTTTGATATAATTTAGAATTCATATGAAACAAATTAGTTATTGTGATTAAATAAAAGTACTAAATGTAATGCAAAATCGACCAACCGCTCATGTCATCTTACCATGGTATTTTTTATGTTTGTTGTTAGATGTTTTCTGCAGCTATTAGCATCTTTATTTCATATTTTGCATTTCAATTACATGCATTTCATTATTTTTGGGACTTATGTGCAAATTCAGTGGAACTGTATTTTTGGTGTTTTGTAATGGCATTTGAGGCTTTTAGCATGATTCATGGCCTACCAAAAAGCTCTCATTTACTTCGAGAAAAAAATAGATCTAGAATGAAAGCTAGAAATTGTGAAAAATACAATTGTAATCAGAAGGTTACACATGTCATGTAAAAATGCATTGGTATTTTATATTGTCGTGTAAATTGAGATTTGACCCAAAAATGTAGTGTACTTTGGATTTTAAACGAGTAATATGTTTTGTGTTGTAATTTCAAACAATTCGTCTGAATGGTCCTCAACAATATAATAATGGGTAGTTTTTCAATTCGGCAAAAGTTGCTTGGATGTTATTTGTTGGGTACATTTTATGCGTTGTCTCCCATGTTTTATATACCTTTTATCATCATTTTATATACATAATCATGCATTGTAAACATCTTGGAATTCTACACATAATGTTATGTTTTAGTTTACTTTGGGTTTTATGGATTGATCTTTAGGATTTCACGATGCAAGGAGTTGAGATCAGAAGCTTGGACTTCAGGATACTAGACAAAGAGAAGTGAATAAAAAGTTTGGATGACTAAGGGAAGAAAAAAACTTAAGTAAAAACAAGTGTTGTTTATTTATTTTGAATCAAAATGTTTGCGGTCTGCGGACTATTTCTGTAGACCTCTGCAGTAAAAGATGTGAACCAAATGTCTACAGTATGAAAAAAGAAGATTGTTTTTTAAACATCTGTAAACTACTAATATAAACTAAAATCTAAATAAATTGATTTTTTTTAAACTTCAAAGTGGGTTTTTAATAATTTTAGGATTTTGTTATAAATAATTAATAAATGTAGATCAACTTTATGTATTATTATATAAAAAATAAACATAAAATAGTACGAATTAACGTATATATTTGATAAAATCAACAAATTTGGTCGTAAAGTTATACCTAAACATTGTAATTAGGAATCAAAGAATTTGATATATAAATGGATGTAAATAAACTTCGACTTTTCCAACTAAATCAATTAAAAGCGTACATTAAATATTTTCCCCAAGAAATTGATGATATTGTATTAAATAATGTTTTATAACATTTGACACAAAAATATAAGAATATACTACGATTTTTTTTCATATTTATATAAACAACTTCAACGACCGTTATTATAATAAATCTTTATTTATAAATTTGTCAAAAATATCATGTTTGTGTCGTCGAACGTTTTTTTTAAGTATTGTAACTTTTTTTTCATATTTTTTATCATTAATAAAGTTGAAATAAATATAAATTAAAAAAAAAACTAAAAAAATAAAGATATATGTATTTTTTAGGCTAGAAAATGTTTGAAGATGTTACAAGACTCTAGTCCACATTTGCGCCAAGAAGAGAGCACGCAGACATTTTTAGATCTGCAGTCTTCAAAAAAACAAACAGTGTCCAAAGGCTAATGTCTACGTGTGGTCTGTGCGGTTCAAAAAGAAGATGTCAAGAAGATCTGCAAACAAAAAACAAACAACAACTTAAAAATATTTTTGAACAAAAATATGGACACATTACTTAAATACTAAAGAAAATGTTGTTGAAAAACCTTAAGGGTCATGTTTTCTATGGGATGAGTGAATTTGGAGCCTAACTCAATAAATAATAAGAAAACATATTCAATTGTTTATTGATTCAAAAATAATTGTAATAGTTATAAGTAGAAACTTACTTAAAACACACATATCACTAACAAAATCCGAGAACATTGGGTTGAGTCAAGTTCAAAATGAATAATCGAAAATCATCAAGTGTGTTTCATGTGTGGTTTTCGTTATTATTTACATGATTTTTGCGTGTTTGGTTTAACTTTGGTTCAAAGTAATTTTTTATTTTTATTTAGATGAATATCATATCACTGATGGGTTTTCTTATATAGAGTTTTGAATTTTGATCAACTAATATTATATTTTTTCTATATTTTGTGATGTTGTAGAAGTCGTTATTCGATACTCATTCAATCGATTGGGGAGCATAGAGTATTCGCCTTATACGGGGAGTACCCAAATATGGTATTTTATAATGAAATTAATTTTGAGGAAATTATATATATATATATATATATATATATATATATATATATATATATATATATATATATATATATATATATATATATATCATAAGTTTATCAAAATTCATAACAAAATATGTAAAATATCAATAAAAAAGAACATATGTTCTAATGTTAAACTAGTTCAAAAAAAATAAACATTAAAATCATAAAATTTTTGAATATGACAATGAGAGAGGAAATCATTTACAATACATTTATGTGGAACCTTACTTTAGTTTTAGGGTTTATATCTTAGATAAAGTATAAATATACATATCAATGTTAAAATTCCTGAGACTTCTCTTACACCAAAGGCAGTGGAGCTCCTCAACAGATTCCAACGGGTCATGCACTCTAATGTTATATCTCCTAGATCCACTGATGTTGTGTTTAAAAGGATTAGTTTTGCCATCCAGAAAGGGCTTGCGGCGCAACTTGTTTCCCGTTTTCCTTCCATTGATATGAATTGAACTATATTATGCTTACCATCATATATATTAATAGAAAATGTTGATTGTGTCCCACCATCCACCACTTGGTGGGATGCCGAAGGTAACTTGTATCTTTTTCTTCGAATTGCATGAAATTAATATGAAAATGTCTTGTAGTTATATGAAAATAAGATAATTTGTAAAGACAAACTTATACTAAATAAGAGAAACCACATATTAAGAAACCAATTATGTTGTTTAAGATTATGACATCATAAATCCCCCGGAAGGATTTGAACTTTTCTTTTCTAAAGTTAAGATCTCTTGCGTGCAAATATCTTTTAGATTTTCATTGATTTCTGTCATACTACTTGTATTTCATTAGAGTATTCTTTGTCATGTCGATTCCAATAGTCTCTAGTCTCTTGGTGGTTAATAATATTGGCTTATTAATCTTATCAGCGTTCAATATAAGATAATCGCAAAATTATTAACTATTCGATTTATGTAGGAAGTTGGCGCAATAGTTAGTTTGGAACAGCCGATGTTTGTTAAAGTGCACCAGATTCCTGATGACCCTTTAATGGTAAATGAGATTTTAGATTGATATAATAAGAAAAAGAAGAAGATTATGGTGTTCAAATTTGAATTTAATAAAGCTTATGATTCTCTAAGTTTGTATTTTATGAAAAAAAAATATGCAATTCATGTGCTTTGACTCAAATGGATCTCTTGGACTTGAACTTGTCTTCATTTAGCAAGATATTAAATTCTTGTGAATGTTAGTGTATCTAAGGATTTTTCAATTAAAAGGGAATGATGCATGCTGACCTATTGTCACATTTCCTTTTTATCATATACATGGAAGGATTGCATGTAACTATTGAAGACGTGGTGTAACATCCCAAAATTTAAAGCCAAAAATTTTTGTTTTAAAGTAAGTAACGTATAAAATCATTTACCAAAACATAGTCGATAACATATCAAACCATAAAACCATAATGGTAACGTCTCAAAATCCTATCATTAAGTAGTAATAAAATCAGAGTACAATCCCTTGAATCACAAAATGCGGAAATTTGATGTGCGTGTGATGTGCAGCTACCGCGCCGACTCCTTCCTCTTTGCTGAAGAGGTACCTGAAACAAAACTAAAAACTGTAAGCACGAAGCTTAGTTAGTTCCCCCATCATACCACATATCATACATAACACATACTACCAGGCATATCTGGGTGCTCGACCTACCCTGCTAAGCATACCAGAGTGCTCAACCTACCCCTGCTAGGCATACCGGGGTGCCTAACCTCCCTCTGTCAGACACACTGGGGTGCCTGACCTACCCCTCCGGTTTATCTCAACCAGTTACGAGGACTATTTTACCACTACCACTACCACATAAAACATAGCATAACATACTGTCAGGCATATCGGGGTGCCTAACCTACCCCTCGACTATAATATCCAGATATAGAGACTATTCCCCCTACTTTACTATCACATAGCATCATATAACCATAACAGATAGTGACATGTCAGATGAATATCACAAAGACAAACATCTCAACTATAACCCCTACTAGTGGGTCGGCCTTGGTGCCTTAGACCCACCTCTACTGGAAAGTAACTCACCTCGTAAACTACGTGTCGAATCTTGTGGAGGTAATCTCTAATAGCGGCTCTGATGACTCTCGGCTATCATAGACACATAACACTCAATCAGAGTCTATAAA